GGAAACAACTGAAATGCCCATCGGTAGACGACTGGATTAAGAAACTGTGGTGCATTTACACAATGGAGTATTACTCAGCTATAAAGAAGGAAATAGTACCATTTGCAACAATATGGATGGAACTAGAGAACATTATGCTAAGTGAAATGTCAGTCAGAGAAAGACAAATACCATATGATCTCACTTATATGTGGAATCTAAAAAACTAAATAAATGAGAAATGTAAACAGAAATAATCTCAGAGACCCAGAGGAAAAACTGAGGGTTGCTAGTTGGGAGGGGGTGGGGATGAAGGAGAAGGGGAAGGGATGAGACAATACAAATTGGTAACTATACTATGGCCTCAGGGATAGAAAAGACAGTCTGGGGAATATAATCAATACTGTTGTAAATATTTTTAGGGGACTCAGATGGACTCATGTCTTGTTAGGGAGACCACTTCATAGACAGTTATAGAGGCCTGACCACTGCACTGTATTTCTGAAGTTGATGTTGAATAATGTTGTATGTCAACTATAATTATATATACATACAGTCACGGGATGTGGAGTAGAGAGTGGGAATGGAGTCAATGGAATTGTAGTAGAGAAGTATGATATTGGGGGTGGGAGGGCAGTAGATGGGGGAGGAGGGTTGTTTCTTTTGAGGGGTGAAAAGGATAACTATTGCATTGTTCTGTACACCTGAAACTAAAAAAAAGTTTATTCTTAAAAAATTAAAAAAAAAAGGGCAGAAGACCTGAACAGACACTTCCTCCAAGAAGACATACAAACAGCCAACAGATAGATATATGAAAAGATGCTCAACTTCACTAGCTATTAGAGAGATGGAAATAAAAACCACAATGAGATATCACCTCACACAGGTTAGAATGGCTATTATCAACAAGACAAATAATAACAAGTGTTGGAGAGGTTGTGGAGAAAAAGGAACCCTATACACTGCTGGTAGGAATGTAAATTGGTGCAGCCACTATAGAAAATAGTATGGCGGTTCCTCAAAAAATTAAGAATAGAATTATCATATGACCCAGCAATCCCTCTTCTGGGTAGCTACCAAAAAAATCTGAAAACATTTATCTGTAAAGATATATGTACCCCTGTGTTCATTGCAGCATTATTCATGGTGGCCAAGACCTGGAAACAACCGAAGTGTCCTTTGATAGATGATTGGATAAAGAAATGGTACATATACACAGTGGAATATTACTCTGTCATAAGATGAAATAGTGCCATTTGTGACAACATGGATGGATACTGAGATTATCGTGCTAAGCAAAATAAGTCAGACAGAAAAAGTTGAGAACCACATGACTTCATTCATATGTGGGATATAAAACCAAAAGCAACAAAGCAGCAAGACAAAAACAAACAAAGAAAAAAAAAACCTCATAGACACAGACAACTGTTTAGTGGTTACGGAAGGTAAGGGGGAGGGAGTGGTAGATGAGGGTAAACGGGATCAAATACATGGTGATGGAAAGAGAACTGACTCTGGGTGTTAAGCACACAATGCAATAAATAAATTATGTATTATATAGTAATGTACACTTGAAACCTATATAATTTTACTAACCAAGTTACCCCAATAAAAAAAAAAAGAACTTGGGACAAAATTGCCACACTGGAAAGATAGTATGAGAAATGGAGGGGTGTCCAGGATTCACAGGAACTTCAGCTAGAGGACTCTCTGATGGAATCCAGGAGATTCTGTACAAGCTGGCAAATCAGCCAGCTCTGAGAGAAGCATTTTCATCTGTAGTGAACGGAAGCCCTGAACAGTCCAGCAAAAACAAAAAACTCTGCTGTTTCTCCAGGAACTAGGAATGGGCAGGAGATGGAGGCACAAACATGGGCCAAAAGCAACCTCTGAACCAACCTAAGAAAGTGCATGCTGACCAAAAGGAGAAGGCAAATAAAGCATCCTGGGAAAGGCTGTTTATCTTAGGCTCTAGTTTATCCCAGACTAACTTTACGTGAAGCCAATTGAAAAGAAAAAAGTCACCTAGCTTCAACTTGAATTTTACATATGAAGAAAACAAGGAAAGTGATTGTGTGAGGTGGTTTGATATGCCTGGTATGCTGGGATAAATGTGGCCATTGCGATGAAGAGGGGGAATAACGTACTAACAGAAGAAATAAAGCGAAAAAGTGCACCCAGCAAAGAGAGTTTTAGATGAAAAGCCCACCCCATCATCCCTTTATTATGATCCTGGGAGGTGGCAGAAAACAATAACTGGGGTTAGTGGCACGAAGAAAATATAAGGAAAGTGAAACCTTCAATTTGGGGGGTGCTTGGTAGAACGCTGACCAAAGGACATGTCACATATATTTGATAGCCCCAAATACACCTTCTTTTTACAGCAGAAGTTGAAAACTCAAATGCCTTCAAGTTAAGTTAAATATGTGAACCAGGAGACTGTAGGACAACTGGGTGTGGGGCAGACTGGCAAACGGAAAGGCTCCACATAAAGGAAATCACATTCATTTTTTAACAACACTGGCTTTGCCGATGAAAACACAGAGAGACCCCCATTCCCATGTCACCAGTTTGCAAACGTTGTTTTATATGGTGTTAAAACATAAACCATCTTCAATGGTTTAAAGGCTAAATGAAGCATTTTTAATAGAAAGAGATCTATGAAAAGCCATTTTCATTTTTAAAGATGATTTCAATTGAATGGAAAGTGAAAAGGCCTGACATTTTTCCAATCTCCATATTGAAAAGGGAGACATTTTTACTCTTATATGAGAGGGTGTATGTCTCCCCCTTGGAAAAAAGGAGCTATGCTTTACCTCCAGAGACAAGCACGGTGTTGGAAACATTGTACGAATAGTATTTAAATGTTTGTTGCATGAATAAATGGGGTTCTAAGTAGAGCAAAGCACTAGTGAAAGACCTCTCTTTGGAGGTTATAAAACCGAAAGGGTTGATCTCCAGCTTTAACCTTCCTCTGTCCACTCAGGATTTATCTCTAACCCCAAACGTCTTTGTAGGCGGTAAAGACTTCAGTGTTACCATCTTCCTCATCTCATGGCTCTGGCAGAGAACAAAGAACATGGGAAGCCTCCCAAGAACAGTTAGGACAGAACTCACCCCCCAGGTGGTATCCAAGTGGACTTAGTCCTTTGGGAATGGGGCAAAGGAACTTCAGAGCTCATGCTGATAACTCTCCTAACTCCCCAAGTTCATGGCTGTTGAGTACAAAGAGGCGGTGCCTACCTCACAGAGCTGTGAGGAGTAAATTGTAATATGTGTGTAAAAGGTCTAATATACTGCCTGGTACATAGAGTGAGCTGTGACCTCAGTGACTGAACTCAACGAACTTTGGGTATTATTTATTATGGGAAGAGTAGGTGAATTTTTGTAATGGCCCTCATTGGGGTGGGGTGGGGAGGTAGAGAACTGAGAAGCTGAGGAAAAATAAATCTATAATATTTCAACAACTGCTTATTAAGTCATTTTTGGAAAAAGTGGAGGTGGATAAGCGTTTAAATAACTAAAATTCCCTACATTTAAATACAAATCCTTATCTCTACATGAATACTTAGATATGTATAGAGTTCCTTTGGAAGAACAGTTCACAGGTAGTAGTGGTTTCCTCCAGGTAGGACTTGAACTGGGAATAGCAGCTGGGGAAACTTCTTAAAACTTTGCCATGTGTGTCTCTATATTATGTATTTAAAACTCACAACTTATTTTTAAGTGAAATGCTGCTAGTTTAAAATATTTTCTAAGTTTTGCTGAGTTTGGATAACGTGTGAAATTGAGCACGTCTGCTTTCAGCTTTTACTGTCAGAGCCATGATACCGCCCTCTAGCGCCTGGTACCCACCATTGCAGCTGCTCCCTGCGGCCACAGCTGGGCTCACTCTTAAGCCTGCTTGCCTCATCAATACTCACCAGGTTACTACTCTAAGTAGTTAACATATTAACTAACTAAACTATTACTTACTCCAATGGTCCAATGCGTTAAATGGTAAAAAAAAATCTAGGCATTGTGAAGGATACTGCCTCATTCCTCATTCTTGGTGGAGAGGTAAAATATTAGATTATTTGAATTACATATATGCATCCACAATTCTTCCATTTTTCCCATTTTAAACTTGATTATCAGCAGCAAAAGGATTTTTCTACTTTCTCAATTATATCTCAAGTGCAAATCATTTTAAATATTACATTTGTATTAATTCATCATTTGCCACAGTAATTTTCTTCTTTGCATATGTTGAAACAGAGGCTACTGTTCCACGTACAAAATTTTCTTGTGTGCTTTTATTTTGGGTAAAAGATTCTGAACTCTGTTTCAGGGTTTTTAGTTGTTCTCTGGACCACCGATTTGCCATACTGTATATTTTTAAAAGCAATGTTTTTACTATTTTAAAACTAATGTGTTTTCATCGTAAAGATATTTTGGAAAATACAGTAAAATATAATGAGTAAAACAAACGCAAGCCCTAATACCACCATCACCAGATAACTACTGCCAGCATTTCTATTTTCTTCCAGTTTTTTTAATGCCTATGCGTTTTTATACATAGTCTTGTCAGTGAATTTTGAGGTCTCTAAAATACATTTCCACTGTTATGTATAAATGCTAAAAGTCTGCCCTGGTTAAACATGCGAAGATATTTTTATTAGAAACTACTGTATTATTAGAAACTGCAAGGGATGTTTGGGTGTAAGGGGAGACGGTCATATTGAACATATCCACTAATTCAGGGTTAGTATCGGACGCTTCTGTAAATGCCCTTATTTGTGTTTCATTATATAGCAGCTGGCTGTATATCGCACAGATGACACTTTAGGCTGACTTCCAGGACATCGCCTCCGCATCCAATAATTTTGTACCCTGGCCTTTGACAAATATTTGGGTATGAATGAAATTCTTAGGGGCTTTCACAGGTGGCTTAAGTAGGTCATGGTGCATGATCCCAGGCAAGGGGGAGGTAGATCAGGGCCAGGGACTTTCCAGGGGCAAAAGGGGTTATAAGCAGATAGGTTTGAAACCTGAGCGAGTGCAGACCTCATTAATTTTGTTCTTATTTTACTTCACGCTGTTTTCACCCATTTGGGAAAACAATCCCGATCATCTCCTCCTCAGGGCAGATTCCAAACGAGTGGCCGGCCTCAAATAAAGGTTGGTGGGCGTGTTCCCCGCCCGAGGCCCGCGTTGGACCGCGCAGAGGCTGAGGAAACCACCCCGCGCCGAGCAGCGGGTATAAAGAGCCCAGCTGCGGCCGCGGGGCAGCTCTGGACTTTGCAGGAGTAAACGCTAGCCTCGTCGGTCAGCATCTGTACCGAGTAGCAGTCCGGACACCACAAAGATGGCACCCATTGGGGGCAAAAAGGCCAAGAAGGTGAGTCTTCAGGGGACCCGAGGGCTCCAATCCGGCCAAGGCTGTGGGTCTGGACCCACTGGCCCGCACCCCAGCCTGACGTGAGGGTACCTCTAGAGCTCAGATACTCCCAACATCTGAGTCCTGCAAGCCAATCCCAGAGCACTCCCCCAGAGGTGCAGCTCCTAGACTCACAGAAGCAGCTCCTTCCCTCCTCCACCACCGTGGGACCAAGGGCGCCTCGTGGCGCCCTGGCTCCTGCGTGTCTGTGTCTGTGTCCGCGCCGCCGCGTGCGCCCCTCTACACCCTAGATCTGCCCTGCAGTGAGGCGCGCAGTACAGACCCGCACAGTTTCTGGCTGGCGCCTCCACGCCACTCTGGGGTATTGTGGTCTCTGCCTGGCGCGCAGCCGCCCTGCCGCAGCTTGGTTGGGCTATGGTACATTTTCTCCCGCAGTTTGGTTTCAGCGATCATGATTTGGTTTCAACAAAATGCACCATGTGGGGCTCGAAAATGGGCACCGAGGTCCTAAGATATTGAGGAAGGGTTGTTAATAAGATTTTTAAAAATAGCAGTTCCAGCACCTGATTAACAACAAGCACATCTCTCCCCTTGTTGGGGCGAGTGTTCCAGTCCAGACTGTCGACCTTTGTCTAGTTTGGGGGATTGATGGGTGGATGGATGGACTGACCATGGGACTATGGCTGGGAGGATGGGAAGAGAAGGACGCAAGGAGGAGGAAATATGCTTAATTAATCCTTGGGTGCCAGAGCGCCCAGCCTGGCAGACAGAGGTCCGAGGGAACGGTAGGCAGGCAAACGGGGCCAGGCCAACTGCACAGCTGTGAAGGACCTTAAGGGCAAGTCCACCTCTCATTTACATTGCCAGCCATCCCTTTAGGAAATGGGCTATGCCCAGTTTCTAAAAGATGGCCCCCCAAATAAAAAAGATCACACAACGGAAAAAGTTAATTCAGTTAAAATTTTAAATGCCATGAAGCATTAATAGATGCATGTTGATGGCCTGAGGAAGAGGTTGAGATGGCAAATGATTATAAGTTGTCACCAGTTAAATGAGGTTGAGAATTTCCCCCAATCCATAAATCTAAACGAAGAGCTGATGTGGACCGGAAAGGATGATTGCTATAGAGATTTTAAAAGTTTTTTTTGGTTTGGCTCCATTTGCATAGCCATGGATTCTAACCCACTCCCCAAACTCAAACTCAGAAAATGAAACATTTTGAAAGATTATATAAGCAACAGATGGACATAAGATGAAAAGAAAAATTTCTGTGGTAACCTTGTTTCCATGCATATGTCAGTGTTAAAATATGGACAATAATGTGTCTACATTTTTTTTTAAAAATATATGTTACAAAGCTAACACATGTTCATTGTAAATAACTTGGAAAAGCACTATGAAATGTACCATCTGCTACATTTTGGTGTACAGCCTGCTAATTTGTTATCTAGACAAAATGTACTTTTTATACAAAAATGGTCTGATATTACACATACTGTTTTATAATACTTTTTCACAAAACAATATCTTGAGCATTTTTTTTCATAGCACATCCCACTTTTTAAAAAAAGCTGTTTAGCTTAGGAACAGAAAAGCCTGAAGTCCAGGTAATTAAAAAATGCACTAGACTCTAAGATATTGTTTTTCTAGATGTAATGGCTCAACAAATTTATGAAAAGTGTGGTAAAAGAATCACCAAGAGCCACTCTAGTGTAGCAAATATCAAATTCTTAGCTAGGCTGTGTATGTAAATGTTTGTGGTGCTAGAATTTGAAAACACACACATGTTCAATGAGAGTTGCTAACTGACTTGAATAAAATGTCATGAGTTATTTAAGTCACATGAAAGTTAGTAACAAGTCATATCTCATTTATTTTATCCTTGTTCATATTTTTTATTTAATTGCACTGACTAGCTATATGTGTAGCTTCTTAATTGGGCCATGATGATCAAAGTTGTGGTTTTAAGATGTGGCATTTAGACACATTGAAATCATGACAGATAAAATCACATGATCAATTCTGTATATTTGTAGTTATCTAGTGGACTTTTATGCTTGAAAAATTTTATATCTGGAAGGGATATTCAGGAACATATAGCATGATGCTCCTGTTTTATTGCTTTAAAGTGAAAATGTCACTTGTGTCTTCTCTCTGAGTACTACCTGACCAAATAACATAGGAAGGGGCAGTGTAGGGGAAGAGGATTAAAATACAGAGGCTCTAAAAAGGTGGCCAGGATTTAGGATGCAAAATCCTATGAACAGCTCGCACAGATTTATGTAACCTTTGTCATTATATCAGCATTTGTTTTACCAACCATTATGGTGATAAGTGAAACACAATAAGTAAGTACATTCCAAGTTATTCCTTTACATGGTCTTTTCAGGGTTGTCCCATACTCTCCACCCCCAATTAAAATAAAATCTAGACACCATTTAAGGATAAAACAGCCAGGAAGCCCTATACCCCTCACCTGGGAGACTTGGTGCACATTACTCAGAATTCTGGGCCTTCATTCTTCATTTGTAAAATCAGGAGTGACCTAAATTGAATATAGGGTGCCATTTATTTTTAAATTCTATGAGTCTTCTAAATTTAAAAAAAATGTTTACACTAGAAAGTTACATTAACACCAGGGTCATTATTGCATGGTAGTATAAATGGAATAGGTATGGAGACTGGGCTGGAAATCATTTTACAAATATTTTATTTAGTTGTCTCTTCCCTGTTCTTGTCATCTTGCACTTGTAGAGTGCAAATGTGCGTGCTCTTAACTTCCTGGACAGCATACCACAACTGCTGTTGTGAAAAATGGATTCTAATACCACTCATAGAAGGGGTTTGGCCACCTTTGTGGTAGTTACCTTCTTCCTTCTATCTTTATCAAGTGTCTTCTGACTTTTCAGTCTTCAAAATACCTTAATAGCATTATTGTGCCACTATAACTTCATCAATTTTAATCACCTCTTTGGTTTGTAGATAGAATAAGAAGAAAGACTAGCCTTCACCAATTTAAGAATGCGTGCTTAAGTATTTGTTTGAGGCTTTACAACAAAACTTTTTCATTTAATCCCTCCACAGATATTTGTTCAAACATAACATCTTCCTACCATTTTCTTCAAAACTCTTTAATGTGTTCTGAAAGACCACCTTCTCACCTACCCCCGACTCCCCTCCCCACCCAGCCACCCCCCGACACAAGTATACACACATTTTCATTATATGAGCATGCTAGCTGTTGTGCCTAATAGATAGTAACATGAATTTATAAAATACACATACTTTCTGAAAATTATAATAAATCATATTTCTCAAGAATATGATAGCAAAAGGACTACAAATAGAACATTATTTTAAAAACTCAATTCGCTTTTTTTCTTCCCCTTTGCCTGTAATTTTAGGGCATCCTAGAACGTTTAAATTCTGGAGAGGTTGTGATTGGAGATGGAGGGTTTGTGTTTTCACTGGAGAAGAGGGGTTATGTGAAGGCAGGTCCCTGGACCCCGGAAGCTGCTGTGGAACACCCAGAAGCAGGTTGGTGCATCGCTCCATTTGAAGTTCTCATAAAAGAACACTTTTCCAGATATTTCTTATTGCCTGCTGGGCACTGTGCTAGGTATGTCAGTATGGATTCACATGTTGGATAAGCATAATGGCCTTCCTTGTTGCTGTCACCTATGTTTACCTCTTGGTCCCTGCCACTTACTCTAGATGAGTCTAGTACCTGGCTTGCCACCTTTCTCTCTGCCCCTCCCTCCCTCACCTCTCTAGGTGACATCAATGTCCGTACAGATGATCCATCCAACACTCTTCCCTTGAGTGCCTTGATCTCCTCCTCATCCCTAACTGAACTCTTCCTCCACTCCCAGCTCAGCAGCCCACTCTGAGACCTCACCAACAGCTGTCCACCTCTGAAATCTCAGTTACCAGCACTCTACTCTCGGACCACCACCGTCTATCTTGTCTACTCACTCTAATACTGCTACTCTTCAACCTCATCAAGACTCTCAGACGCCATCCCTTCCATTTTAGTGTTTATTACCCATTCTCCTGCATATGTCCACCTTTCCTCCTTACCCACTTTATGTTACATGATACAGTATCAATCACTATCTTTCAGATAGGCCCTCCTTCATTTTATATGTGCCAACTAGTCAAATTCATTGTATACTAGCCCTACCCTTTTTAAATTCAATTATCTACCTTCCCTGCACCTGTACCTAAACACCTTATTCTCACTACTTTTTTGGCCACAAATCTTTTATGGCCAGGAGGAGAGGTGGAATGAAACCTGAGGGAGATTGTGTGTATAAATATATATAATGTCTCCCACTTATATATGTACAGAGCATAGTTAGATATTACCCTTGTAAATTTAACTTGAGAAAGGCAAGTCTTTGGAATTCCACAGCGAACTCTAAAAGGTCAAATAAAATTTTGCAGTATTTCTTCAGTGGGATAATAAATTTGTAGCAAAATCATTTGGGAGCAAAATGTGACCTGAACTAATGTGAGGATATTTATAATTATATCCTATTTAGTGTGGGTAATCATATATTTTGATGCCAAAAAAAATATTAATGTGTTTGATTGGGAGAGTCTACTTCAGACCCTGATGAGAGGGGTATATGTGCTGTATTAACTTTCTAAAATTCCCCAAAATTCAGGATTCCAAGATACATTTGGTCCCAAGATGGCTTGGCTAAGGGATTGTGGACCAATAGCATAGCCTTCCCTTTATCACCATTTCCAGCACTGTAAAGTCAAGCCCAGGCACCAGTCCTAACAAAAATCTTTGAGTGCAGTCCAGCTTGCAGGGAAACTTTTCAGGATCTATATCAATTCTAGGTGCCACGGAGCCTAAATTAGCAGATGCACAAATTCATTTACATAAAATAGCATTGAAACTACCACCACTCTCATTCAGAGGATGAATGTTTTAAATGGATTTCATCCCCCAAAACGCTAAATACATCCACTGCCCTATGAGGCACTTAGACTATCTAGCAAATAGCGGTGATGATGATAATTTGCCTTTAAGATTAATGAGAATAAAATTCAATTCAAATGACTACAGAATTCATGCATTTTGTTTGTTTGTTTTCTTAATTAACTGATAAATGTATCCAAAGTAAGGTCTGCTCTAATTATTTAGACATTAAAAATGGACACTTGTCCTCAAAAATATCCAGTGCTGTAGGTCACACAGACTCATGGAATTTTGAAACTCCTTTTTCATTGTAGAGAGGAAGAAACTGTCACCTTGATGGGGTAGGTAAATGGTTTGCCCCACATCACACAATTGATTTTACCAGAGTCAGGAAGATTCTAGGTTCACTGACACTGTTGCCTAGGACACTACACACCATGCAGCACTAAATAAACCAAAAAACAAACCTGTGAGAATGTAAGATTTTGTAAGGATACCCACTTGGCAACTTAGTCCAGAGACTGGGTAACATTTAGCTTCTATGATGCTAAAATAAAACTAGTATAATGAAGAGTTTAAAGCCATAACATGAATGTAATTAATTAGTATAGGTTGTATCCTTGTCATCGTGAGCAGTCACACCCTATTACTGGTTAGAGGATGAAGACTCAGGAGTCTTATGATGAGAGAAAACAGAAAGCAGAAATCAAAAGGATATCCAGGAATTACCAGACTAATTCTTCTACTGAAGTTTATGCCAAAAGTTGTGGTTCTTGCACCCAGTGGAATCAGCACTGAATTTGGCAAGGAATTCAGATTTGCTGGGTCTGGAGAGGTATGGAAAATCTGAGCAAGTTTAGGTTGGGTCACATTTTGGAAAGCATGGTGGAATAATGAAATCAATTAAGAACAAGGAGTTGGGTCACTACCCTCTGGAAAAACCTGATAAAAGGATATAACCTCTGCACTGTAAAATGGTTATGTGCACAAACAATGTGCACACCCTTCCAGGGTTTTTTCAGAGTCTCTGGAAATCCACTCAAGGACAACCTGGGTGGACTTCCTGTTTATAAACCATGTCATTCCCTAGGCCCTGCACCCCTGCTCCAATCACAGTAGCTCATCTGACTAATATATGGGGACTCCACATAAGGTGTGTCTCACTGGTTCTGTTGCTAATTAAAACCAATTAAAAGCCCCCTAATTTAGGCGTCCTTTTAAATTCCCACTGAGAGCTAAAGTTTCCATGATTTGAGAAACAAAGATTTGGCTTCAAGCTTAGAAACCCATTTTCTGAAATTCAGAAGCTCTGTTGCCTCACTTATTTGTCCATTGAAAATAAAACACTGAGCATTCTATGTTCTCTGTAGTCTGCTAGGCACCTGGGATGCAAAGATGCGAGACTCATCTCCAGGCGGAGCCCCAGGGTCCCAATAACTTCCTCTAGTGTACTTGTTTCCAAGCCTCTGGATTTCATAGGCCTCTCAATTTCAAAATAAATTTCAGGGGCTGATATTGGATTACTGACTTCTTGCTTTGCCCATTTAATGCCCCTGACAAAACCAACACCAGCTAAGTCTCACTATCATTTTGTAAGATGAGCATTATTCCACTCTCTTAGAATGGCAGTTCTCAACACGGCTGAAAATAAGAATCAGCTGGGGAAACTTTAAAAAAACCCAGTCTGTGCTTTGCCTCAAACTAGTTAGATTAGAATATCTGTGGGATCAACCCTAGCATCCGTAAGTTTTAAAAAGCTTGCAGGGTAGCTAGTGGGTAGCCAGGGTTTAGGACCGCTATTTTAGAACACAGGATATATAATTCTTTAAACTGAATACATTTGGTTCTATGGAAAAAATTCCTATCATACTTCCTATAACCTGTGAAAGCTTTGCCATTTGGCATTCATCCATGGACATGTTGGAGAACCTTGCTCCAATTCTTATTCTACTCTGCTACCAGAATCATCTTTCAGGAACACTGAGCAAATCACATCACTCAGTTGCTTACAAACTGTTGGTGTTACTGTGACGCCCATGGTCTAGAACCTAGACTCCTTGGGATGACGTGCTAGGCCATTTGTACTCCATATGCCATCCCACCTTTCCAACTGCTTCTTCCATCACTTCTCTGACACATCCTCAACTCCAGCTGCTCAAACTACCTGCTGTTTCACAAAAGCCAAGCCTGTTCCTGCCTCTTTGTCTTTGTCTCTGTAGGGAATGCCCTTCCCCACCTTCTCTGTCTGGCAAAAGTGTTGACTTACTCCCCCTCTGTGGGCCCTCCCTCTTCCCTTCACCCTACTCCATGGTAGAAACAATCTTGTTTCTGGTAAGAGACCCCAGATCTACCTCTCATTAGCCCCCAGGGTGCACAAATGCCAAGCAACCAGAAATTTAGGCAGATATTTTCATATTTGTTTATCTGAGAACCTTTTGAAAACACCACCAGTTAAACTGATAGCAATTAATGCCTTTCCTCATTCAATCTCCCAGTGCGCCAGCTTCATCGAGAGTTCCTCAGAGCTGGATCGAATGTCATGCAGACCTTCACCTTTTATGCAAGCGAAGACAAGCTGGAGAACAGAGGAAACTACGTTGCAGAGAAAATATCTGTGAGTAAAACCGTAGGTGGCACTCTTAGAAAGGCCTAGTAGACATACTACATGTCATCACCAAAATTCTCAGAGAAAAATATCGAGTCTCCTCAGAGTTCTGTTTTGTTTTACATAATACAGAAATAAGATATATGTGCACAACACTCTTAGGTTTTATCTGGAGTCTCCCAAATTGACAGAAAGGTATTTAATGAAGCAGATCCAAAAAGAGGTATTTAATGATTAATGATTCTCCCAGTCTCTTGACTAAGTTGCTGAGTGGATACCCTTACAAATTCTTACACCCTCACAGGTTTTTAATGTAACACAGTGTAGGGGAGAGGTCATTAGACGAAAGGTATCAGTGAACCTGGACTCTTCCCAACTCAGCTACAACCAACTGTGTGATACTGAGCAAACCGTTTACCTACCCCATCAAGGTGACAGTTTCTTCCTCTCTACAATGAAAAGAGAGTTTCAAAATTCCATGAGTCTGTGTGACCTACAGCACTGGGTACCTTTTTTTGAGGACAAATGTCCATTTTTAATGTCTAAATAATTAGAACAGACCTTAGTTGTGATACATTTATCTGTTAATTGAGAAAATACAGAAGACAGAAAAAGGCATGAATTCTGTAGTCATTTTAATTGAATTTTATTCTTATTAATCTTAAAGGAAAATTATCATCATCATCACTGTTATTTGGTAGGTAGTCTTCTAAGTGCAGCTTAGGTGTTGGAAGATACTAGATCTTTTTACGTAAAGACCTTTACCCTCTCACAGATCTTTGGTATAATGTCATATCCTAGATACCATCATTAGATTTAGTCTTTCATCACTATTATTGGTGTTGCTGTTACTGCAAGTTGCTCAACATGGTAAAGCATTGAGCTATTCCATCACTGTCACTCCCTGGAATCAAATCACTATTGTAACATACATCTGAGATGTGGACATTTAAGTAACAATTTTGTTTCAGTTTCACATGAAAATGTAGATGTATCATGTACTCACCATTTTAGGGGCAGAAAGTCAACGAAGCTGCTTGCGACATTGCCCGGCAAGTGGCCGATGAGGGAGACGCTTTGGTAGCAGGAGGTGTGAGCCAGACTCCTTCATACCTGAGCTGCAAAAGTGAAACCGAAGTGAAAAAAGTATTCCAGCAACAGTTAGAGGTCTTTATGAAGAAGAATGTGGACTTCTTGATTGCAGAGGTAAACAAAAAGACAATCAAAGAGGAGACCAGCACACTTAGTCCATTTCCTCTGCCTTTTGCTTTCATGAGGACCATGTGAGATCGGGTTCCCTGCATGACGAGTAATAGTAATACTTAGTTTTGAAAGCTTTTTTCCAATTTAGGGCTTCTACTAAATTTGATTCAGTTAATCTAATACAGGGTTCTTTAAACCTTTTCACTGCAATTCCCAGTAAGAAATCACCATTCTATTCCATTTAAAAAAATACAAATAGATCTCAATTTCAAATTCTTAATATTCAAAATGTTTCAAACTCAGTCTGAAAATCACTCATCTAGTGATAATTAAATTACCAAGCAGTAGAATAAGTTTTCCAATTGTTTTGGGGGAAACAAGTTTAAAAGTACTTTAACCTTATCTTATTTCAGTATTTTGAACATGTGGAAGAGGCTGTGTGGGCAGTTGAAGCCTTGAAAGCATCTGGAAAACCAGTGGCAGCGACCATGTGCATTGGCCCAGAGGGAGATTTGCATGGCGTGACCCCCGGCGAGTGTGCAGTGCGCCTGGTTAAAGCAGGTGATGATGGATTTTGATAGGTTTGCAGTTAGTGAGCCTTCTAAAATAACTACAAATGCAGGTCTGTCTACGAATCGCTATTTGCTACTTTTATTATGAATACTGATAATATTATTATTGAGTCCTAAAGAGAACAATGTTAAAAAAAATTAAAAAAAGATACACACACACACACACACACCAGCCTTTTGAAAGGAGCAACTAGACCTATGCTGAAGGTTTAACAACTAGGAATGAGAAGAATTTTAGTAAATCAATAGGAGCATTAGGAATAATTGTGTTTTATTATTTTTTATTTTTTATTTTTTTTTAAAGATTTTTATTGGGAAATTGGGGGGATGGGAACAGTGCTGGGGAATTGGGGAAAGGGGAACAGACAAGTTGCTGTCGTTTTGTTCTTCAGTCTAGTTGTGGAGGACGTTGCTTCACTGGCCCAAGTTGGCACCATCATTGCGCTCTTCTCTGGCGAGGCAGATCAGTCGCCGGCTTCTGGACGGCCGCTCACTGCGGCTGCTGGCCGCTCACGCTGGCTGCTGGCCACACACGGTAGCCCATGGCAATCCACTGCCACAGGGACTGCAGCCCATGCCATCGCCGGCGACTCATGGCAGCCCAGCTCCAGGTTGAGCTGTTGTTCAGCATCTTAGCTGTGGAGGGCAGTGTCACTGGCCCTCATATGTGGGATCCGAACCGGGGCCCTCTGGCATCCCAAGCGAGTTCTTAACCATCGCGCCACTCGGCCGGCCCAATTGTGTTTTATTTTAAAACTTATTTCAAGTTGAGGCTTTTAAACATTAATAACTTTTAAGTCAGCTGCCCTCTTTGCCAAAGTTTTTCCATTCTCATAAGTTACTGGTATGCTTTGCTTTTCATAATTGGTATAATAAATCAAAAAATCCTTTGATATGCAATGCTGACCACCTAATTTATCTTCTTATATAATTTCCATTCCTAATATTGGATTTCATTTCAATTAGAGAAAACAGGTGGTTTTCAAAGCTGCCTCATTTTAAACCCAAGGAATAGCTCAGTGTCAGTGGAAGACTTACTTATGCTGTGGAACAGAGAGATTTTGGATTGGCTGTTTTTTAATTCCTGGTTTTTATCCAATTCCTGCTATTTCATGAAAGTCACTTCATACTTGTCATTAACAATAACAATTATTTAGATCTAGGAATGAATTTGTATAATCCTAGTTTTTGATTGGTAATATAAAAATGGGGGGAGAAGCAAGCTAACTTGTTTCAAAAAGATCAGAGGAAGCCTTCATCATCCTCATTGTGAATTGGCAAGGATTCTTGGCCTGCACCTTATCCTTCCCTTGTCACTCTGTTCAGAGTAGGTGAACCCAGAGTTTGAAATCACTATACCCTGTTTACATCCTTTGTAGCACTTCCCACTTATCCCATTTTTTTTAAATCTCTTTAATGTCTGGCTCTTTCACTAGATTGTAAGATCTAAGAGGGCAAGAACTCTGGCTGAGTCATATGGTGTTTGTCTCCCTCAGTCTGACTTATTTCACTTAGCATAATACCCTCTAGGTCCATTCACGTTGTCATAATTGGTAAGATTTCATTCTTTTTTTATGGTCAAGTAATACTTCATTGTATAAATGTACCACAAGTTCCTCATACAATCATCTATTGATGGGCATTTTGGTTGTTTCCATACCTCGGCTATTGTGAATAGCATTGCAGTGAACATAAATTGAGTACTCTGTGCCTCCACATAATAGGTCCTTAATAAATATCTGTCTAATAAATCTAGTCTATCTTACAATGTTAGATCAAATCCTACATCCATTTGCACTTACACAATCATCCCTATCCCAAGGGATCAATCCCTCCTCTCAGCAACTACAACACTTTCTGTTTATACCCCTCATTTGGAATATCATCAGTTGACATTTTCCAATCTGTCAGAATGTTAATTAGGTTCTATAGTCAAACACATTTATAAAATGCTATGTTAAACTGAGTTAAGCAGGTCTGTTAACTATAGAACTTCTCAGAGCCTGGGATATGCCCATGTATATTGGCAGTCTCCAAGAAGGGGACATAAATAGCCCCTGCCTAACTTAATTGATCATAGAACCTCATTTTAGTGGAGCAAACCTTGAGAAGCCCTGTGCTAAATTATAAAATCATTAGTGTCCATGACTATATTTCTCTAGAACCCCCTTACAAAGACCATTATACCTAATAGACACCCAATAAAGAGCCAACATATGATTAATTGGTGAGTGTAATAAAGCCAAGCAAGGAAAGAAAAACTGGTAGCAGAACATTCAAAAGAAAAAAAGGAGAAAGGTTGTCAAGGTCCAAGTGAAGATGTTAAGAAACCTGTTGAATATACAAGTCTGGAATCCCAATGGAAAGGTCAAGGTTAGAGAGAGAAATATAGGAGAGTTCTGCATATAGATGGTGTTAAAGCCCTAGGGCTGAAAAACATATGTAGGTGACTAGCAAAAGATGGTTCAGTGGGGTCCTGGGACACTGCAGGATTGAAAGATTGAGGCGGGATCTGCAAGTGACACCTAGAAAAAGCAGCCAGGGTGGTAAGAGCAACACTCAGGGAGTGTGGGAAGTTCTCAGAAGCCAAGAGAAAGGGAGTGTTGATGGAAGCAGTGGTCCTCTAGAAAGAATGCTGTTGAGACGTTGAGTAAAAGGAGAAGAGAGAATTGACTACTGGATTTGGCAAGATTGAGGTCATCAGTGCCCCTGACAAAAGCTGATTCAGAGGAATGATGGGGAGGGAGGCCTGACTGGAACAAGAATGAAGAGCACGCTGTAGATCCAGCCCAGTGAGGACCACTGAGATGCCTGCCATTGAACACTGGATGCCACAGCTTGGTGACATCAGCTCTACTGCTCCTGGAGCCTGGATTAGTGATATTATTAAATTGGCCTGATGAAAGGGAACATTGATATATTCCTCACATAAGTGGTATGGTAACCACGGGTACAATCTAGCAGCTGGGAGTGCTGAAAAATTATTGTGCTTGTAATATAATGTCAAAGATTGAAAAATTGACTACTAAAATTTGAAGTTAAAAGAAACTCTAATGATTTTTTTAAAAAGATGGACAGCCAAGTATGCATAAATGACACTTCAATTATACCAGACTCTTCAAAGCACTTTTCACAGAAAGCACTTGCTGCCTGTTGGTAATCATTCTTGCCCAAAGGTAAGATAGGTTTGCAGAAAGCCAAAACCAAATGCTGTACTTCCAAATTCACCATTCCAAATAAAAGCTCCCTAATTAAGATAGGAGAGTGGAATATAGCCAATGGCATTATAGTAACTATGTACGATGTCAGAGGGGTAGCAGACTTGTTGGGGTTATCACTTTGTGAGGTGTATACATATCTAATCACTATGTTGTTTTTGTACATATGAAACTAATAATAAAAAATGTTCTTCCCACTTGCAGGAGCTTCCATTGTGGGCGTAAACTGCCATTTTGACCCCGCCATTAGTTTGCAAACAGTGAAGCTCATGAAGGAAGGCCTGCAGGCTGCCCGGCTGAAAGCCCACTTGATGAGTCAGCCCTTGGCCTACCACACTCCCGACTGCAGCAAACAGGGATTTATCGATCTGCCAGAGTTCCCCTTTGGTAAGACACACATTCTATACACTGTCTCAATGTCTTTGAGTTTGGCAAATTCCAAATAAACCTATAGCCATAGAACTTTATCATAGTGAAGAAATGGCTCCATATCTTCTCATCTCTAGCCCCTGGCTTCTCTCCCTAGAGCCACAAACCCCTGATAGTAGACAGTAGTAGAAGAAAAAGATGGGACCAACAGGCAAAAAAGACTTCTGAACTTCAATGCAAAATCAAAATCGAATCAACACCTAGATAGACAACCAATGAATCATACCTGTAGATTGGTAAAAAGGATGGTCTCGTGGTGAGATCAGCAGAGATTTTGGTTCTGGTTCCAGCTCCATTGCTGAATCGTATAACCTTAGCAAAATTCCTTAGTTCCTCTAGGTCTTAATTTTCTCATCAGAAAAATAAGGTTAGACCAGGTTATCTCCAAGATCCTTTTCTCCTATTTTAAGTGTTGCTCAGATATTCCGGAGTTTGGGGAGGAGGGGAGGATTACCATCACTATATTACTGTATGACAAATTTGAATGAAGAGACAGAGCAGATGAAGTGAGGGAATACTTGCAGGGTAGGCAGAGGGATAAAATCTCTCAGTGTGTTTTGGAAGTGGGGGTATATATACCTTGGAAATCAAGCCCAGAGATGTCAGCAGGGCCAGATCATGGCCAGCCTCCTATTTCATTCTAAGGTCCTTATACCATATCTATATTCTATAGGGACCCTCAACGAAGTAAGCTATTATAAAATAAAATCACTCTAGAAGAACCACAGAAGAATAGCAAGGCATTTGTATTATTTATTGCTGCATAAAAAATTACTGCAAAACTTAACATTTATTATCTTATAGTTGCTGTGGGTCATGAATTCAGGAGCAGCTTAGCTGGGTGGTTTTTGTTCAGGGTTTCTTAAGAGGTTACAGTTCAGACATTGACCAGAGCTACAGTCATGTGAAGGCCTGATGGGAACTGGGGGATCTACTTCCAAGCTCTCTTAGTTGGCTGTTGGGGAGTCAGTGTCAGTTTCTTGCTGTCTGAGGACTGGATGCCTCAGTTCCTCAGCTCATGGGCTTTTCTGCTACGATGCTTGAGTGTTCTCACACCATGGCAACTGGCTTTCCCAGGGTAAGTGTTCCAAGAGAGAACAAAGCAGAAGCCATAATGCCTTTAACAACATGGCCTCAGAAGTCAGAGACCATTCTCCTGCCATATTCTATTAGTCTCACAGACAAACCTGATATAATGCAGGAGGAGGCTACACAAGGGTGAGAATATCAGAGGGCAGGGCTCCCAGAAGCCATCTTGAAGGCTGGCTACCATAGCACTTAAAACTTGATGGATAGACACAAGGTAGCTAATAGTTTTGAAAAGTTAAGAATTAAATATTAACAATTGATTTATCTCACTTATTGAAGATTACATACTTATAGCCATTCATTTTGAATATTTTGTTTAAAAAAGTATTTTGGGCATAATGCTGTTTATTGTAGGATTGGAGCCCAGAGTTGCAACTAGATGGGATATTCAAAAATACGCCAGAGATGCCTACAACCTGGGGGTCAGGTACATTGGTGGATGCTGTGGATTTGAGCCCTACCACATCAGGGCGATTGCAGAGGAGCTGGCTCCAGAAAGGGGGTTTTTGCCACCAGCTTCAGAAAAACATGGCAGCTGGGGAAGTGGTTTGGACATGCACACCAAACCCTGGATTAGAGCCAGGTAAGAACCTTTAAACTATATTTGCCGAACCAAACTCATGTAGATTATGAATATGTCCAAGTGGGGTCATTATAAAGAGTACAGCTAATTTGCTGTGTGATGACAGTCAGTTATGCTCCTTAAATTCTCTCACAGAGATGTTTATAAACTATCCTTATGGAGTGATTTCTGGAGAACATTTAAGAATATAGACTGTAAATAATGTAAGTTGGAATGAAATGTGATTTCATGTTCTAGGAAACCATCCATGTGATGACACTAACATTGACTTGACTGATTATTAAGATTTAAGTATAACTTAAGTATAACAAATAGTAATTAAGTATCTGTTCTGTGCCCACTATGATTCTTGGACCTGGGAATATAGTGGTGAGTAAGATAGAAAAGGTCTCTTTGCCCTTAGCGCTTGCATTCCAGTGGGAAAGATGAACAATAAACAAACATATTTTAAGTCAGGCAGTGTGCAAGGCACTAGGAATATGGAAATGAAAAGCTATGGCCCCTGGCTTAAAGAACCTCACAGAATACTGAGCAAAATGGGTAAGAAAGTTGAGGTATTATATTGTGGGAACTGCTTTAATAACAGAGGGATGGATAAAAAATAATAATGAAGAGAAGAGAAGCACTATCTCTGCCTAATAGAAATATATTTTAGTAGAAGAGATTTCGTGGCTGGGTTTTGAAGGACTAAGTAGGCTCCCATGGGGTAGGGAAGTGAGTGACGGGTGAGTGCCCCAAGCAGAGGGAGTAGTTCCACTCTTATCAGCTGACGTTAACTGAGCACTATGTCAGACACTGTTGTGGACACTGAGGTAACAAGATGGACAAGGCACAGCCCTGTCTCCAAAGAGTTAACAGTCTAGTAGGCAGAGAGATAAACAGGTACATTCAAATTGGCATAGGAAGTTCAAGGATCAAGGTATGCACAGGTGTTGTGTGGTCTGAGCTAATGGCCCATGGGGACAAAAGGCAGGGGGGTGGTTAATGAAGGATTTCTAAGAGAGCGGATGCCAAGCTAAATTTTGAAGAGTGAACTACATTGCCAGACAAAGATACAGCCTACAAGAAAAGCACTGGGAGTTGGAAAGAGCATGGTATACTGAGAAACTAGAAGGTTGAGGATATCGGAGACAGAATCTGATAGAAGACACAAGTCAGGAAGAGGAGGAGAGTATGAGTATGAGCTCAGGATAACCTCATCCCAAAGGCAACAAGGAGCCTGGAGGGTCAGTCACAAGGGGTCCAGGACAAGATTAGATTTGAAACTTAGCAAGTTCTAATAGCCTGAGACAAGGACACCTGTGAGGAAGCCTTTGCTAAAATGTACCAGGTGTGATGAGACCTGACCTAGAAGGAGACACTGGAGATAGAAAAGAGAAGGAGGAAGGATCCACAAAGTGAGAGGTAATGCTGGGTTTGGGACAAGCAGCAGATGTGTGCTCAGCTGGCTCATAAGGCAGAGTGCCGGAAAGTGGTGAGGATAGGGAGGTGGGATAATTGGATAGAAAACGTCCCCCTTCTAATTCTTAGCTTTTGACCCCTATGCATATGTTAAAAGAAGAAATTCAAAGTAATTTTAGACCTACAGATTCTGGGGGGAGAAAGTTTTAGTACCAATTAATAAATGTGTTTTCATGGACATAGCCTCAAGAGTGCCAAAATGGCATCATGGTGGTATTCTAGCTCAGTGACAGAGGATGACATGCAGGGAGGAGTCTAATGTGTATTTTGTTCCTGCAGGGCCAGGAAGGAATACTGGGAGAATCTTCGGATCGCCTCAGGCAGGCCTTACAACCCTTCAATGTCAAAGCCGGATGCTTGGGGAGTGACCAAAGGAACAACTGAGCTCATGCAGCAGAAAGAAGCCACAACTGAGCAGCAGCTGAGAGAGCTCTTTGAAAAACAGAAATTCAAGTCTGCATAGTAGCCTCAGTGGAACACAATTTTGTGAATTCCTCTGTTTGGGCCACAGTTCTCAGAAATAAGGAAAAGATGGTCAAAAAGCAATGTTCATATTAATGCCAGCCTACACATAAAATTGTTATGAGCTGAACAAAACAGAATTACAAATAGCACCTGACAATTTTAAAAGTACGTTTTAGAAGTTTTCTTAGAAGCAAAACAAGTAAGAAGTAAATCTTAAGCTGGTTGACTAAGTACCCAGCATGTATATAAGGTATTAAAGAAGTCACTGTGGCCAAGGAAAAGTAATTCAGACATTAATCCCACTTCAAGAAGTTCGCAGGCTAGTAAGGAGGATGAGCTGTGAACTGTCATAAGTGGCTCAGCAGCCAGACAGGGGCAGATATAGTGCTTTAGGGAAATGACTTCCAAGCTCCTTTGAACGTGACCCTTAGCAAGAAATACAATTTATATAATGACCCCAGTTAAGCACATATCATACAACCATTGAAATAAAATGTGTGATCTGTTCTGGCATTTTCTATCCCATTCCTTTCCATCCTATTTCTTTTTTTTTTTTTAATTGGGGAATTGGGGGAAGGGGAACAGACAAGTTGCTGTCCTTTTGTTCTTCAGTCTAGCTGTGGAGGACGTTGCTTCACTGGCCCAAGTTGGCACCATCATTGTGCTCTTCCCGGGCGAGGCAGATCAGTCACCGGCTTCTGGACAGCTGCTCACTGCTGGCTGCTGACTACACACGGTAGCCCATGGCAACCCACTGCAGCAGGGGCTGCAGCCTAGCCATCGCCGGCGACTCATGGCAGCCCAGCTCCAGGTTGAGCTGTTGTTCAGCATCTTAGCTGTAGAGGGCAGTGTCACTGGCCCTCATATGTGGGATCCGAACCGGGGCCCTCAGGCGTCCCAAGCCAGCTCTTAACCAACGCGCCACTCGGCCGGCCTTCCATCCTATTTCATTAATAAAACATGCTGATTGAGATCCCTCAAATTAATCTTATGACCCATTAACGGGTTTTGGCCTAATACAGTTTGTAAAACACTGCTATGCGACACTTCAGCTCTGGGGACTTTCCAATTTCAAGTTTATTCTTAGAAGATCAGTCATATGGGACCTGACCAGTAAGTGTCCAAAGCCCAGAGTCCCGCTCTCAGAGTTCCAGAGTTGTTCTCTTTAGTGACCCATTTTTACCGCCAAGAAGCATACCAACCAATAGAGAGGGGGTGAGAAGCAATTGGTATCCAGGCCCTCTCCATCTTACTCAAAATGATCTACCAAAATGCCTCCCATCGGTAAGCCTGAGGAGCAATGAGCTTGTGTTACTTTGATAGCTTAAAGCATTATAAGAAAAAAACCAAAACACATTCTCCAATCTTTACCCAGGTCTCCTAGATTGAGAATGCTGATATTTTTACCTAATAATATCTAATCTCCTATGAGAGCTCAAGCCTAAAGATGCAAAACTAAAAACTATTAGAATAAACGTGGCTACTCTTCATGTAGTAGGAAAGAGTTCATGCTGCTTTTCTAAATATTCTTGGATTAGTTTAGCTGTTTTGAAATTGTAATTTCTTCAGCTATTAAAAAAAGAAGAGCATTGAGACTATCTTGGTTATATTAGATTCTTATTTTTGTTCTATAACTTGCTAAGTCCTGTATGAAATTTCTATACTTCAGTTTATCCATCTATTAAAAAAATAATACTATCCTTTATTTTCACAAGTATGCTGGAATTTTAAAGGAGAAGGCAGCAGTACTTAAAGGGAAAAGAAATTTCCAGAATTTCTTAAGAAGAAAATTAGCAATCTACCCCTCACATCCCCCAATGCACAGAAATAGTGCCAAAGCAGTACAACTCTCAGAGGTTGCATACGGCTGAAATGAAATTAGAGGAGAGTAACTGCAACATTTTTTTTTAGTTGGTATCTACCATTTCTCACTCTCAATCAGGTTCAATTTAATATTTAATACTTTCATTCATAGATGATAGAAACTTTCATTCAACTGTTCTATTACTGTGTAAGATGCTTGCCCTTCTGGTATCCTTTTCAGAATTTTATTGCTACACTAAACACTGTAATCTTTAAACAAATTCTTATATCCTTTGATTTTAAAAGCATTTCCCTTGAAACAAAGTATATTGAATATGTGCTTGAATTAAATTATATGTCACCACTGCCTCCTAGTGGCATATTTCATATTTTGAAAAAAAATTTTAAATTCAGCCCCTTCACCAAGAGCATTCATTTTATTTTCAGAAATCTTGTTCATTACAAGGGAAGGTTTTTTTAAAAACCTAAGAGTTTCTTTATGTTAAACAGACATTTCTCACTGATAAAGATATGTTTATGGAATCAAAGCCAGAGGGACCTTAGAAATCAAGAGTCCAAACTCTCCCTTTTAAAAATAAGATTACTAAGGCAGGGTGCCAAGGCAGGAAGGACTTCTTGCTAGTCCAAGGCTGCCAAGAAAGATGGCTTTAGCTTGGATTCTTGGTAGAAGGAGAGCAGAACCAGGACAGATAGTTCACAAGACTGAGTTCATCCTCCAGCCAGGAAATAAATATCCTTGCATTTACTCAGGGCCAATGTAAACGCACTGAATAAACCGTTGGCAATTTATGGGCTGTCACTTCTTTACACTGTAGCAAAGCACCTTCTTGTAAGTAAACCAGGCCAATAGCCAACCCATAATAAGATAGAACTGGACAAGAAGGGATCAAAAGCTTCGGTTCCCAACTTCTCCAGAGGGGGGCAGCAAGTCACCAGCAGGGAATGCCTGAGGAGCTCCCTTTTGCTTCGAACGTCAGCTATTTCACCAGAATAAACTGTAACATTAAATGGCAGAAATACCTGTGGCCCTTTTTGTTTGTTTTGGCCAATTTGTTCTTAAGACATATAGATCTTTGAATCACATCCAGGACAGCTCACCCAGCAAGGAAAGTCATATATATATAGATATATATCTCCTACCAGACCCCCATTTATCCTAGCTATCTTCATTTCACCCAGCTTTGAGCACATTGGTTGGCTGCGAGTATTACATAGACTGTTTTCCCAAATAGCCTCTCTTTAAGTCAATAACATCCGCTTGGCCAGTCTGGAAACTTCCAGGTGTTACCTGTCAGGTAGAAAACCGTGGTTCTCACACAATAAACGAGGAAGAAGTCAATTTGAAGAGAGAAAAATAGAGGAACCCTGTGAACTGCTTCGGGAGTAGTGTGTCTGATGGTATGTTAAAGAGCAGACTTAAGAGATAACAAGACCCAATATTTCTAAACATTTTCTGGAACAAATGAATGTGTAGCATTTGAACACTAAAAAAAAACCGGAAAGGCAGCCAAATTCAAAGACATCTCACAGATGGTGGTAGGAAGGGCAGGGTCATTTGGCAAAAATTGGTAGGAAGTGTGGTGAGGGAAAGGAAGAGCCAAAAAACGCTCCCAGTTTTCAAGCAGCTGGAATCGTTCTGTTGGCTTTGAATAGATGAACAATTTAAGGGCCTGGAAAGTGAGAGACACAGATGTCATCGTTTGTGCTGCCGTGAGCTACAGAAATAATGCCAAGCAATTGGAGTACAGCAAAACAAAACAGGTTAATTTATATGCCACTAAATCAAATGCACGATAATTTTAACACATGGTTTGACTGATATATTTTTTAAAGTTCCCTATGTAAATGTCTACATTGAGTGAGTTTTCAAGGGAAACATTTAGCTTACTTTTAACAAATATTTATTTCCCCAAATGCCTGAAATGCTTTTGCAGTCATCACTTACATGCAAATTGTTAATGTACCATTTATAAGTTATTCCTGTTTGTTCCTTCAAGCAGGTTCAGTGAGACCTCTGCTTGGCCCCATTTTGTGGTTATTTGTTCCAATTTACTACATGGCCTTGAAAGGAAAAAGATGAATATCTTTGAAAATAGTTCAAACTTTCCCCCAAATTCAATCTGGCCATTCTTCCAATTATTTTGACTTAATGAGATTTTACTGTTCTTTGGAAAGGTTAACGTCTCACCATATGAATTGGCTTAGTGGAATTCAGCCATTTCCCAAAACCACTAGTGCAATGTATTGGAAAAAGCAATGAATAAATTTAGAATGAGAAATTTGGGGTGCAAGTCCTAGCTTTGCCCCTGCCTCACTGTGCAACATTGGATAAACCACCTCACTCCTCCGACCTTCAGCCTTCTCATATGTAAAATGACAAATCTCTTAACATCTTTCTAAAAGAAAAAAAAAACCCTCCAGTTTTATGCTTCTAATTTGATGGTATAAGCAATAGCCCCATCATTGTCAACAAATATTTACTGAGTGCCACTTGGTGGTTTGTTTCCAGCAGATTTAATTGTTAATTATTCCCGTGGCTAAAGCAACAGCAGACCGAAACAACACTGTACAGAGGTCAGGGAAATGTTATTAGTTTACACTAGGCCTGGCACTGGGAAACGAAAATGTCATTCTCCCCACAGGTCCTGCCTCCTAGGGAGGTTTGGGTCTGTAGTTTTTCATCTTATGAACTGTTTCTATTTTCAGGACTCATGAGTTCTTTGCAGGTTTGCACAGCTATGGAAGTTCTTGAAACCATCAAGTGGGTAATTCTTGGTTAGAATTCTTCATCTACCTAAGAAGTGGGAGAATTGTCTTCTCACATTTGATAATAAGGTGGAGTTTGGAAGCTAGAAGCCTCAGAAATTTTTAAAGCCATAAAGCTATTCTCAGAAGTTTGATGACTCCCAGATTTATATCTCCAGCCTAGACCATTCCCAAAAACACAGTTGACATCAGCCTGACCTTTAAACTCAAGCTAGTTCCTGCCCTGGGCCCTGTGCTCCTGCCTATGGTTATCCAGGCAGAGTACCCAAATTTGGACCTGGTCCTGTGTGGGTTCTGGTCACCAGAGACGACTGCCTCAAAATTTTCTAAGTCCTCTCTAGTATATAGGACTGGTCAGGGCCATCTGTGCCATCTGGGAGGGGTGCCCTGGACAGGTCAGCATGGGACCCAGTCTTGGTTGCTTCCCTTCTGAGCGTTCAGTGACCCTCCACTTCTACCTCACTCCTGGAGTCTACCAAGTGCCCCAAGGAGCCCTGGAACTCTTGTTGACCCCAGTCCCAGGAGGGCACCTGGTGACAGGATGGCTCCCACTGGCAGGTGCAGTGTTTGTGCCTCAGAATCAGGTGAGATTGGACTGCCCAGGATAGTGCTGACACTTTGATTTTGTATAACTCATGTCAGACATAGGGCAAGTTCAGGGCTCTGGGCCACTGAAGCACTGTCAGCTCTTGCCTTGAGCAGCCAGTGGGGCCCCTGCACTGGCTCTCACCTGTGGGAGTTCCGACCTCAGCGCTCCACAGCACTCAAGTGCTGCAGGGGTGGCAATGGGGGTTCTTTACCCTGGCGTCCTTCTCCAGGCTCCTCCACCCCCTACCTCACCACCACTGCCGCCTAGTGGTCACCCACCTCCACAGGCTCTGCCAGACATGGCAGGACCCTCTAGGGGTGGCCATGGCTGATGTT